CGTAGTTGCTTGCCATGGTGCTACCCCCTGCCTGTCTCGCTCTCCATTGCGCGGCTTCGACACGGGCTACCGCGTTGTCCCTGGGTCCATTCCGAAGACCGCCTTGTGCCCAGCAGGGGGGGCGCGGTGCTTGCCCTCTGCAATGGATCCCCTTGTGAAAGACCATTCCCATTGAACAATGCGCGCGCGTAACTCCTTTGCCCCCAATGCCTTGTTTGTCGTCGCCTTTCTCCGCGGAAAGAGAGATCGACCTGGGCCAGTCCAACGGCGCGGCTTGAGACTGGCGGCGCTCAATGAGGATGTCATCCAGACTTGCATTGGCCCCCGCCGCTGGCGACCCCAGCCCGGCCTTCTCATGCCTCCCAAGGTGGCGCGACTGCTTCTCACTCGCTCGCAGCGCTTCTCCATCGTCAGCTCGCCCTGTCCGCCCCAGCGCACTGCCTGCCCCCCGCCCCGTCCGCCGCAACATCGCCCTGCCGACTTCGTGCACTTGCTGGGGGTGCTGCACTCGGCCACGCCCTCCCCGCCCTCGCGCTGCTCCGCCGCTCGCCCCCCCCCGCTCCGCCAGCTCCCTGCCCGGCAGCGCTGAGTCCTTCAGGTTGACCGCGGGATCCAATATCACCCATGTGAGATCCGCCGGCACGCCCCACGGGGGAAAAGCCATCCTCGTTGCCGTTTTCTTGCAGTACTTTAACATCTCCCGTTTGCCCCTTTTTACTTGCGCTCTCAAATCCTCAACCAGTGGTAGCGGCATCTTCTCGGCGATCATCTCGTCGCGCCCCTGCCCGCACCCTCAAGCTCAGTGGTGCCGCAGCCAAGCCCCCGTCGCGGGGATGCTTCCCCAGTTCTCTTAGCCACCCCTCTGTGCCCCACCAGGCGCGCGCCGAAAAATAGCACCTCTTCTTTGGCCCTCCCCCATCCCGCTGGCACCCGATACGTAATCGGCGCATCTCGCCGAGGCCGTCGTTCTCGCGCGCCTGCCACAAAATCCTCGGCCCGTTCTTTGACTGGCGGCCTCCGGGCCATTCCTATGCTTCCGAAGAACATTATGTATATGCGCTAGCTCCTCTATGATCTCCCCCAGCCTCTCTTTCGCGTCTGATCCTCCATGCCCACTTTCAATTGCATCCTGTCCGCCAATAAGGATCGTCACAGTTTCTGGAAAGCTGCCACCCGATGGGTCCTCCTTTTTTCTTCTCGACTGGGAAAATATCCTTCATCGTTTTATTAGCAATCCTCACTCCATCTCTTCCACATCTGGTCTGCTGCGGCGCGGTCTTGTAGCTCCCTCCATTCCTCTTCCGCGGTTCACTCATCCGGGCCCGCACTCCGAGAATCCCCCGCCGGTGACGGCCCCATCCAGGCTCGCCTGTCGCGGCTGCGGGGGCAGCGCTGCACCGCCCGCCTGCGTCGCACTCCGAGATGCCCCCGCTAGGGCCCCTCCTGGCCCCGGGCCAGGGTCAGCCGCCACGGCTCGCTCGCCAGGGTCCGCGCCACGAGATTCCCCAGCCAGCGACGGCCCTTCAGAGCTCGCCCGTCGCAGCTGCGGGGGCAGCGCCGCACCGCCCGCCTGGGTCGCACTCCGAGATGCCCCCGCTAGTGCTTCACATCGCTGCGGGTCGGCTGCGGCCCTCATGCGACGGCTAACTGCCCCCGCAAACTCAGCTCGCAGACGCCCTTTGCTCAAGCACTCCATCAGCACGCTGCGGTCCACATCCATGTCAGCCCTCTGCTGCCTGGATCTGCTCATGGTTTGAAAACGATGTTCTAACCCAGTGTCCAGACCAAAACGAATGTGGTCTCAGTGTCCTTTCGCCTTGGCAAATTGAAGCTGATTGGCCACTCCCCGCAGGGCTGCGCGCCGTCACATTTGCGGTAGGGCCCCAGTCGGTATCGCAACGTGGTCAATCTTGCTCGCGCGTACCTTGTCGTCATTGACACAGTAGTAAGTTGGTCCGCACTCGTCAACAAGTCATGACTACTGACGATGGGCCGTGTACACAAAAAACCTGGATGCTGCACCGCTGTCGTTTTCCACCTCTCTTGCAACCGGCCCAAGTGATGCTGCATGTTTGGCCGACACACAATCCCTGTTTTCCGTCCTGTGCATCCCCCATGACTGTTGATGACTCCCCCCGCTATGGCAGTCGGCCACCAGTTATCATCACACTTCTCTTCCACCCATTTCATTTGTTTTTGAAAACCGTCCCGTGATTGGCGTACCCCTTCTCAGGTGGCACGTACATCGAAAATAAAATGGCATCGTAAGCCTTGGCACGCAATCGTTAACCCGCTGCTCTCCCTTGCAGTCGAGCAGGTAAGGTGTAATGCGCGTGGAGCGCCTTGTCCTTCATCATCTCGTCAGGACACCATGAAAGTCTTCCCGCATGCCCCAAACTACATTTCCGCATGGTATAGGTGGCTGGTTTTCTTCATCGGTTCTGACCCTGCCCACTGATGCGCCCAACTCAGCACAATCACATCCCACTCCCGTAGTTCACTGCTAGTTTCGTCCAGTCGGTCCGTGGTACTCGCCGCCAGCGGGTTGTAAAAGGCCAGCTTCATCAATGCATAAATCGAGACCCAAGCAATCGCCATCCGTCCCCGTCCTCCCCTACTCCCTCTCTCGCCCGTGAGAAATGTGGGGCGGAAGTCGTGTGAATGAGTTTCCATGAAAATCCTCCCTCCGTCGGGGCTCCAAGTGCCTGAGCCTCCAACGCCGACTGAGGAGGAGGGGGAGGGGGAGAAGAAGGCGGAGCAGGCGGAGGAGCACCACCACTGGCAGCACCAGCGGTTGTGCAGCAATGAGAGCAGAAGCAGGATGTGAACGGTAAGGAAAAGGGAGACATCGGAGGGAATGAGGGGGGGAGGAGAACCGGCGGCGCGCCGAGGGGGGAATTTGCAGGGGGCAGGCCTTCAGAGAAAGCGGCGGAACCCCTCAGAAACCCTCCAGCACTTTCGGTAAGCAGCACGAGTACTATTACTACTACTACTACTACTACTACTACTACTACTACTACTACTACTACTACTACTACTACTACTACTACTACTACGACTACTACTACTACTACTACTACTACTACTACTACTACTACTACTACTACTACTACTACTACTACTACTACTACTACTACTACTACTACTACTACTACTACTACTACTACTACGACTACGACTACTACTACTACTACGACTGCTACGACTACTACTATGACTATTACGACTACTACGACTACTACTACTACTACTACTACTACTACTACTACTACTACTACTACTACTACTACTTCTACTACACTACTACTACGACTACGACTACTACTACTACTACTACTACTACTACTACTACTACTACTACTACTACTACTAATTACTACTACTACTACTACTACTACTACTACTACTACTACTACTACTACTACTACTACTACTACGACTACTACTACTACTACTACTACTACTACTACTACAGCACTACTAAGCACAAGATGAATCAAATCATGATATTATAATCAGATTAAGAAGAACGACCATCATAACAATAACAATGACGATATGAATAACAACAATCATACGTGTAATACACTTTAAGAACACCAAGCATATGAATACGAATAATGGTAAAAATAAGAGACTACAAACAAGACAGGCGAAAAAACGAACCAAAACACCGCCTTCTGACAAGCCCTCTGAGGCTTCGGAGGAGGTCTGGCAGGCTGCTTGGAAGGCCGGAGGCCTTCTGAGTCTTCTGGGGAGGGCCGCCCCCGTCTGTCTTCCCCCCTGGGCGCGCCACCGAGAGCAGGGAGGACGAAGGGGGGGAGGGGCAAGGGATGGCATAGGGGAGGGCAGGTCAAGCCGGCATCGAATCGGGAAGCCGAGTCGAAGCGTGCGTCGGACGGGGCTGCATCGGCACGGAGAACTCGAAGCGGATGCGCCGAGGCTGGGATGCACAGCAGCGCCATGCGAGCACGGGGCCGCAGCGGAGCGCCGGAGCACAGGACTCAGACCAGGATGGGGCTGGTCGGCATCGACTGCGAGCCGGATCGGTCGGATCGAACGGGACCCCGGAAGCGTTGGAGGAGCGAGCGAGCGTGCAGCAGTGCGGGCAGGCGCCGGGGCCGCAGGAGGGCCAGGTGCAGGAGGCGTGGCCTCTGGGACATGAGATGTCTACTGTGCTGCGCGAGGCATGCAAGAAGTTGGGAAGAGTGGGGAAATGGGAGAGGAGAGAGGGTGGGGGAGGAGAGAGGGGGGGGAAGACAAGCTAGGTGCGCTCGCGCATCATGTGGCATCCTATCCCTCGCTCCCATTCCTTCCCATGGTGTTGACTTTTCTCTGTCCGCGGGCGCGTGTCATGGCCGACAATGTCGGCATGGTATTGTGGGAGTCGCATGATGCGACTCCCACGGAAAGACCACTTCGCGTTATGCGCAATCGAAACAAGGGGAGCTGCGCGCACTGGAGGGGGAGGTGGCGGATGAGAAGGAAGATGAGCGGGAGACTCGGATTCAGAAAAGTGGCCCGCGCTGGGGCAAGACGAGCAGCAGCAGCAGCAGCAGGAACTGGAGTGGAAGGGGCGTGAGGAACAGGAGGACCAGGGGAAGGCGGAGGAGGGAAACTGGAGGGGGGGGCCACAATGAAGCAAGACTTGGATCTAGCAAAGTGACCCACGCTGGGGCGAGAGCACCGTTCTGAACGACGGGAGCAAAGCGCCGATCCGAAAATGAGGCCCACGCTGCAGCGGGAGCACCATTTTGAAACACCAGAAAGAATCGAATCATAAACAACGCAAGAGAAAAAAACATATGTCTGAAATCCTGCATACACGCAATACGCGGAGGAGTGCGGGAGATCTTCCCGACGACTTCAGGGGAAGAGGGAGAGTAGTATTCAAATTGTTGAAATGTAGAAGGATGGAGATAGGGACAGGAGTGGGACAAAAGGGAGGCAGGGGAAGGGGCACGCGGAGGAGGGGGGTAGGGGGAAAAGCCACGGCGAGCCTCGGACCCTCCTGGTAGAGCTTGTCGACCTCGAAGGGGGACGGACAGCGGAGGCTGGGGAAAGGACACCCATACCAACACGGGGGGCCTCTACGAGGGCAAGATAAACCTGGATTTCGGTGTTGATTGTGGGGCATTGGTTGTAACTTGTCGCACACTGAGGACGCCCGAAAAGTGCCACCTTCCCAGAGGTCGGGACCTCGACTGAAGCACACCGCCGATGCTGGTGTCCATGCCAACCTCTGGGCCACCGAAAAAACAAAACAGTGAAAACGCCTGGGCGCACGAGAAGCCTTCACGAGGCAAGGACGCATGAAGGTTCATGCGGCGTCGACGCGCGCAAAGGTTTTTGATACCGCGTCAATCGTTCAACCTTGAATCGATCGCGGCCCCGATCGTTCAAGGTTGAAACCCGTCAGGTCCAATAGCGTTACCGTGTCCCTCGGTGCTTCCGCGTCGCAGGGTCCATCCTTGAACGCCTTCGCCAGCGTCGCCGGCGCGCCATCTTCGCATGAACCCACCGTACTTGCTCAAGTCGGCTCGCCTGGAACAGTTCGTACACGCCTGCATCAGCAGCTCGTGGGCCAGACCCCAGGGGCCGCGATACAATGATCGCCTCGGCCTCTCGACCACGTTGCTGCTGTTCCACCTCGCGTGCCTGTGTCATCTCCCGCGCTCGTGTACGTGCCGAACTGCGCCTCACTGTGTTGCTACGCACCGCCATGCGCGCGCAGTGCGACTTTCCTGTCGCGCTCTTGCTCGCGTTCCTAAGGGCTCGCTGAAGAATCCCATTTGCAGGCATGGTACCTGTGCTGCACTGCATGCCCTACACCAGTCCTCCCAGAACTTCGACGTCTTGATATTTTCACAACGACGATCCCCAAAGGACTGGACCCATCCCTGGGGACCAACCTCTGGGCTGGCGCCGTGATCTCCAGGTCTGTCAAGGTATGCCAAGGTAGGGTGTCAACCTGCTGATGGTATGCCAAAGTAGGGTCAGGCTACCATCACGAGGAACGCTAAATCAGGAACGAAACCCCTTGTTGGTCCCCCTTGTTGGTCCCAAAAGCGGCTGCATGCACCCAGGGCGCTAGAGGAACGGCCATGCACGGACACATGGAACAGCGCACCCCTTCCAAACCCGAGTTGTTCCATATTTCACCGTCTTGGCTGTAGATCGACGCCATCCAAGGGGGACGCGCGAAAAGCCCGCGCATGTCCACTGGTGGCAGTGCCGCGCCGACGCGGCGTAGAATCCCACCAGCCCTTTGGGCGTGAGTGGTTTAGAGAGCTCTCTCTGTCCTCAACCCCCCAACCCCCCTTCTTCCCCTTCGGGGAGGGGTTTACCCCTCCCCCTACCCCCTCCCCCTGGGCCTGGAGAGGGCGGGCCGCGGGTGGTCAGAGGGGTCTTTTTCGACTCCTGGGAGGGCCAAAAAACGACGACCCTCACGAGGATTCTGGCCCCGACGGGGGGACGCTAAAAAAACCCTCTCCTCTTCTGTGAAGCCAAAATCATTGATTTTACTACGGTGTCGGCCCCATTTTGGCCTTCTGAGGGGGCAGCGCTCCTCTTCCGTGTTCTCCAAATCATTGATTTTACGAAGGTTTTGGGCTCATTTTGTCCTTCTCAAGGGGCAGCGCTCATTTGCGCTTCTGAAGAGATCGCCAGAGGCCCCAAGATGGCCCCAAGAGGCCCCCAGGAGGCTCCCAAGAGGCCCCCAGAGGCCCCCAAGAGGCCCCCAAGAGGCCCCCAAGAGGCCCCAAAGAGGCCCCCAAGAGGCCCCCAAGAGGCCCCAAGAGGCCCCCAAGAGGCCCCCAAGAGGCCCCCAAGAGGCCCCCAAGAGGCCCCAAGAGGCTCCAAGAGGCCCCCAAGAGGCCCCACGAGGAGCCCGAACGACTCACACCAGGACGAGGGGCCCGAACGACTCACACCACGAAGAGCCCGAACGACTCACACCACAAGGAGGGGCCCGAACGACTCACACCAGGACGAGCCGCCCGAACGACTCACACCATGAGGAGCCCGAACGACTCACACCACGACGCGGGCCTCGAACGACTCACACCACGAGGAGCCCGAACAAGTCACACCAGGATGACGGGCAGCGCTCATACAAGCCCCCCACGATGGCCCCCAGAGGTCCACCAGATGGCCCCTAGAGTTCCCCAGATGGCCCACAAGAGGTCCCCAGGAGGCACCACGAGGCCTCATGCTTCGCAAGAGTTGCTGTTTTGAGATGGGCTGGTGGGGATACGCGAAGCGTGAAGAATTTGCGACCGAAGTGCCCGCCACCTCCTACTAGAGGCCTCGAGGATGCGGGCATCAGTGCCTCCAACTGGCGCTGCCTTTCGGCCTACTCCTCCTCCTCCCCAATTTCACAACATGAATACTACTCTCCTCTCTTCCCTGACGATGTCCAGAAGATATCCGACCTCCCTCCGCGTACTGTTTTTAACACACAGGATTGCCGGGAAATGGGTTTTCGCTTGGGTTTGTATTCAACATTGTTGCTCCCGCTGGAGCGCTGGCCCCATTTCTGCGCCTCTAGTTGTTCCAAATCCTGTTCCCGCTGCACCGCGGGCGTTTTCGTCTTTCCAGATAGGCCCGCAAATCCAGAAAATCCCACCCACCCCGGAAAATCCAGTCGAAGTGATTACACATGCGGTGTCGATGCGTTGATCTCTGGGGCCGCGAAAGCCCTCCGACTTTGGGGCGTCGTCGCTCTCAGGGAATCTCAAGCGGGAGCCCCGTTCCTGCCTTGCGAAGGCGGCGCTGGAAGCAGAGCCAGCGGCTGCTCTCCATCCGCCCCGCCTTGTGTGGAGAGCTAACGGGGGAGCCCACGGAGCTACACACGGAGCCACGATTCCAGATCGGCCCAGACCTCTCGAGGACGATCTACTTTACCCTCCAAGGAGCCCGGCGCCATGCCATGACATGCTGTGCGGTGTGGCGTTCTGCGCCGCTGTGCGATGCCGTGCGTTGCATTGTACGGCTTTGCGATGCAATGCTTCACTGCGCCATGCCACGCCATTCTATGGTACGCTCTGCCGTGCTCGTCCACGACATGCCATGCCGTGCTCGACCATGCATCGCGCACCCTCTCGCGATCGTTGCCCTGCTCGCCATCCGACTGTACGAATAGAGAGGATATCTGCGCCACGGTAAGGGATGGGAGGGAAAGGTAGGACGTCAGATGTGACGCGAGCGCACCTAGCTTATCCCCCCCCCCCCTCCCCATGCTCCTCCTCCTCCTCCTCCTCCTCCTCCTCCTCCTCATCCTCCCCCTCCTCCTCCTCCTCCTCCGCCGCCTCCTCCTCCTTCCTCCCCTCCTCCTCCCTCCTCCTCCTCCCCCTCCTCCCCTCCTCCTCCTCCTCCTCCTCCTCCTCCTCCTCCTCCTCCTCCTCCTCCTCCTCCCCTCCTCCTCCTCCTCCCCCTCCTCCTCCTCCTCCTCCTCCTCCTCCGCCTCCTCCACCTGATTCCTGATTCCAGACGGCGCCAGAAGCCTCCGACTGCCGCCCCCCCCCCCCAGGGGCGGGTCGCCCCGGCGGTCGTTGATCCAACAAGAGCCTGGTGACCCTCGGAGCACCGCTCCAACAGCCACTGGCTGCATTCGGGGATGGACAGAACCCCCTTTAGCAAAACGTGGTTTAGTGAAAACGACCTCGGGCCCAAATCCGGCGGGCGAAAGCCTGGAAAATAACGGCCACGGCGCCCTCTCGAGAACCGAAAACGGACAATTCACTAATCGACGTGTCACTATTGGGGGTTCTGTCCAGCCCCGATGCATAGAGGTAAACGTAAGGAACGTAAAGAAAGACAGACCAACAGACATCGGCGACTACAATGGGTGCGGTTTGCGAAGGGTGCGGTTTGCCTCCAGTCATATCTGCCCCTCCCGCCCCCGGGAAACGGATGACACAGTCACTCAATGCGACCGAATCACATGACACTGTCGCTCCTTCTAATACAGTGGAGCACACATCGAGGATGACAGTGCCGCTCGAAACGACGACAGTTATGACACTGTCTCTCACAGAGGCCCCAGAAAGGCCGTCACAAAGCAACTCGCAAACCGCACCCTGGCGTAACCGCACCCACTGCAATCGCCGAAGACAGGAGGGGATGAGGAGAGAGATGACGAAGGATCATGACCTCGATGGGGGGGGGGGGTGATGAAGGGGGGGGATCTGTGCGGCAGCGCGTGGCAGGCTGGAGCGGCGAGTGGCGGGCCGAGTGTGGCCGGGGCTGGGCCCAGGGGCCCGCTGCAGGGTCCTCCCCCGTTCGCGCCAGCTGGCCCTGCTGGGCCGGCGCCGCAGGGGGCGCCCTGGGTCACCGACGCAGAGGTGCCCGACATGGCGCAGGATGGGGGGGCAGCCAGCCGGCAGGCGACGAGGTGCGCACATATAGAGTGCGAAGAGAGGCAGGGCTTGCCGACGCGAGGCAAGGCATGGAGTGGAGGCCCGCGCGCCTGGCACACTCTCGCGCCTTGAGGCGGGAGACAACACGACTTTGCCGCGTGACAGCGGCTCCTTCAACAGTGGTACTGGACCAGGGGTATAGGTGGTGAGGGCCTTCCTCCGGCAGCCGCTCTGCCCCAGAGAAGGGGGGCAGCAGCGTGGCGAGCGGGAGAAACAGGAAGCTCGGTGTGGCGTGCGGGCGTGGTCCCACGAGGCTCAAACGGTGGCGCGCCCTGGCCGCTCTCGCCGAGCCAGGTGGCCCAAGGGCCCCTCCCTCTGCTCACAGGAATCACCCCCGAGGTGCCCCCGAAGCCAAGGCGGGATCCCTCGCCTGCAAGCAGGCGTGTGGTGCCCAGCACTTTGACCTCTGGAGGCCTGGGAATGGGCACCAGCGCCAACACAGGGGAGTGCCTCCACAGGGGGAAGACGATCCTAGATTCCGGTGTCGGTGGCCATAGTTCGGCAACCTTGGAGACCAGAATATCACCATCATCACCGAGATCGGGATCTTCTCCCCTCGGTGTATGCACACCGCCGACATTGGTGTGGGTGTCAATTTCCAGGCAATAGTTCGGCAGCCTTGGAGGCCAAACTATCACCATCATCACCGAGATCGGGATCTTCCCCCCTCGGTGGATGCACACCGCCGACGTTGGTGTGGGTGTCAAGCTCCAGGCCTGCGAGATCCTCCCCCTCCTCCTCCTCCTCCTCCTCCTCCTCCTCCTCCTCCTCCTCCTCCTCCTCCTCCGCCTCCTCCTCCTCCTCCTCCTCCTCCTCCTCCTCCTCCTCCTCCTCCTCCTCCTCCTCCTCCTCCTCCTCCTCCTCCTCCTCCTCCTTCCCCCCCCCCTCCACCTCCTCCTCCTCCTCCTCGTCTGCCACCTCGGGGGGCTTCCGCTGGGCGCGAGGAGAGCCTGGGGCGCCGCTCGCCGTGGGCGGCGGGCCGGCTGACGCTCGCCGCGTGTCAGGTCGGGCCCGTCCCCCTACAGGGGGGCCTTCGGCGAAGAATTAAGACTGGTCAAAAAAAAAACATACCCCAAAGGATTCAAACATGGTCGAAAAATCGTCCGCCGAGCATTTTTCTGCTGTTTTGGAACATCCCTCCTGTAGAGGGACAGGCCCGACTGAAGCCACGTGGGAAGGCAGCAGGGCATCTCCCCCTGCACATTAGGACGTCCCCCGAAGCGCACCCCATCCCCGCGACTGGTGCCCTCCCCTGCCAGCAGGAGGGGGGCACCCGCACCAAAGGGGCCGGGGGCCACGAGAGGGGGTAGGTCCGCCGTGCCCTGGGGGAGGCTTCTGCCTTCCGCGGCGGCGGCTCGGTGGCTGCTGGTGCGACTTACCCCCCCGAACGCATACACCCACACCCTCCTCCTCTTCCTCCTCCTCCTCCTCCTCCTCCTCCTCCTCCTCCTCCTCCTCCTCCTCCTCCTCCTCCTCCTCCTCCTCCCGTCCATCGCTTGGCGGTGCAGGCAGGCGACCGAAGGCCGCAGCTGCGCAGCAGTCCCTATAAGAGAGGTTGGAGGCACAGGTGCACAGGTGGAGGTGGCAGCAGGGCGGAACGCGCACGACCCTGCTCCTGTGCGCCTACGATGTTGCGACTGCCTGCCCAGTGTGTATCGCTGTCGGTTGCTGCCGCGGCCGCCCCAGCCCTTGCCAACGCGGCCTGCGGTGAGACCCTACCCACTCCGCGCCGATATAACCCAACCCGCCCCAATGCCACAGGAGTGGGGGTGAAGAGAAGGTAGCGAGATTAAGAGAAGGAAGCCGGGTGGTAGGGAAGGTTGGAGGTTGGTGGAGGCCTTCTCTCAGCAATCACGTCGGCTGTGGTAGCATAGCTTGCAGGTGCGAATGCCCCTGAGGGACTAACTGTTAACATAGTTTCTCCTGTCGCCATTGACATTTGCCGAGACCAAGATTGAGGCATCAGTGCCTCCAAGTGGCGCTGCCCTTCGGCCGCCTCCTCCTCCTCCTCCTCCTCCTCCTCCTCCTCCTCCGCCTCCTCCTGCTCCTCCTCCTCCTCCTCCTCTCTCCCTCCTCCTCCTCCTCCTCCTCCTCCCCGTCCTCCTCCTCGGGCCTCCTCGGGCCTCCTCCTCCTCCTCCTCCTCCTCCTCCTCCTCCTCCTCCTCCTATTCTTGAAACCTGAAGCCTGCAGGCATGTGCCCCCCTGGACGCTGCCCTATCCTCCCGCCAGGCTCGGCCAGACAGGGAGGCAGCATCAAAGCGGCGCTTCAACAGAAATCCCACCAGCCCTCTGGACGACAGGTGGTCTAACGATGTCTATCTGTCATCGTCCACTGCCCCTTCTTCCCCTTCGGAGAGGAGTTGATCACTGTTCCCCATTATTGTACACCCCCTCCCTCAGGCGACTGGCAGCCAACCAGGAACAATGAAAACCCAATGAGGACCCCCCCCCACTACCCCTGTCAACAAACCATACAAAGTACACTTTGTGGGCAAAGTCTGGAGTCATGTTCGTGAGGCCCGCGCTCGCGGCAAAATCTGGATCATGCGCGGTCACCCCGCGATCACTGTCAAATGGTGGGGTACGGCCTGCTGTGCACAGGCCCACCAGGCACAATGATGGGCATTTGTTTGCGACATGGATGGTGGGGGGCGGCACGTTTCCCGATGTGTGCTGTCACGTGCGCAGGCGCACTTGACACACTCTGCCCGTGCCCCGAAAGTGGCGCACCTGGCGTGGCTGGAGTATGCGGCACACCTGGCGCACGCGGAGGCAAGTGGCGCACCTGGCGCACCAGGCGTGCCTGGCACGTTCGGGCCCCAAGGGTGCCTGTCGCGCGTGGCGCGCCTGGCACGCGTGGCGCACCTCGCCCCAGCCTCGCGAACATGGGTTCGGCTTTGGTTCCCAGTAGCTGCCCATCCAAAGACGACCGCTGAACATACGAAGGCTCGGGTGTTACTCATGTGTTGGAAGGGCGGGTGGGAGTGAGCCAGACGGTTTGCTATCTAGGAGGGTGACTTGACTTCTCCCCCTACCCCCTGCCCTGGACCTGGACGGGAGGGTTCGCGAGGAGTTGGAGCGTCCAAGATGGCCCAAGATGGCTCCAAGAGAGCCTCAGAGAGCCCAAGATGGCCTCCAAGATCGCTCAAGATAGCCCAATGTGGCTCAAGATAGCTAACAGCATGCCTCAAAGAGGCCCCAAGAAGGCCACAAGACGGATCCACGTGAGTTTGGCGACCCCTCAGGACTGCAAAAGCCGAAGGAAGCCCACTGATGTTTGCCTTCTCGCCTTTTCGCGTCCGTTGCGCTTGTGAGGCCGCGAGATGGCCCTACGATGGCCCAAAGGAGCTCCAAGAAGGGCCCGAGAGGCCCCCGAGACTGCCCCAAGAGAGCGCCCAAGGTCGCCCCAAGAGGGCCCTGAGAGCCTCCTCCTCCCTCCTCCTCGTCGTCGTCCTTCTCCTCCTCCTCCTCCTCCTCCTCCTCGTCCTCCTCCTCCTCCTCCTCTTCCTCCTCCTCCTCCTCCTCCTCTCGATGGCCCCCGAGGGCGGAGGCAAATCGAGGGCCCCCCGTCCCTTTGATTGATGGTCTCCGAGATGGCCCCAGGAGGCGCTCCATAGCTCCCGAGAGGGCCCCAAGAGAGCCCCGAGAGAGCCACAAGGGGGCCCCATGAGGGCCCCAAGGCGCCCCAAAAGAGCCCCAAGAGGACCCCAAGACCCCCCAGAGAGCCCCAAGAGGACCGCAAGATGCCCCAAAAAAGCTCCAAGAGGGCCCCAATATCCCCCAATACAGCCCCGTAGCTCCAAGAAGGCCTCCGATGCTCCAAGATAGCCTCCAAGATGGCTCAACACCCTCCTTCCTCTCCTCTCCCTGCACGCTCTGTTTCGCTGTATGTGTCTCTTCTCTCCATTTCCCGACAGCTCTCATGGGCAGGGCTTCTGAGTGAGCTGGTGGGGATTCGCGAAGCGTAAATAATCATGCACAATATATAGATCCTCCTCCTCCTCCTCCTCCTCCTCCTCCTACTCCTCCTCCTCCTCCTCTTCCTTCTCCTCCTCGTCCTCCTCCTCCTCCTCCTCCTCCTCCTCCTCCTCCTCCGACTCCGACTCCGACTCCGACTCCGACTCCTCCGACTCCGATTCCGACTCCGACTCCGACTCCGACTCCGCAGAGCTATCCTGGGACCGCCAGGGGGGCGCAGAAGCTCCGTGGGCGCCCTCCTCCTCCCACGGCTCCCCCGTGCCGGGGCCTTGCCGACGAGCTGCTCGAGTATGCGCTTCGTCACGTCGAGCTCCTCCAGCATCTTGCCGTCGGTCGCCTGACCCCGACGCCGCGGCGCCGCCCTCGCTCCGTTGCGCGGGGGGCCGAGGCGGCCCGAGAGCGGGCCCTGGGCTGGCGGCGCGCAGGAGGGGGCGGCGCGCGAGGAGGGGGTGCCTTTGGAGAACCCCCCCCCCGGGCTTCTTGGAAGGCAGGTAGGGGCCCGACCCCAAGAGAAAGCTTCTACAAGAAGCCCGACCCCGAGACCCCAGGACGCCCCCTGTGATCACTGGTGGAGGAGCGTCGCGCTCTCCACCGCGAAGACCCTCGAGACCCAGGAGGCCCAGGGCGCCCCTGGAGGCAGGCAGGGTGCTTCCTGGCATGGGCCCCCACTGTGCCAGAAGACTCCGGGAGCTCCTGGGAGAGAAGGCCCCCGCCTTCGAAGAAGCCCGCCCGCCCTCTGGGCAGGCCGCCCCGCCCCGCGCCACCCCCTTTGTGCGCTCCGCCAACTGGCCCCAGGCAAGGAAGAGAAGTCGGCGAGACTGGCTGGGAGGAGGAGGAGGAGGAGGAGGAGGAGGAGGAGGAGGAGGAGGAGGAGGAGGAGGAGGAGGAGGAGGAGGACGACGACGACGACGACGAGGAGGGAGGAGGAGGAGGAGGAGGGGAGGAGCAGGAGGAGGAGGGGGAGCACCTCATCCACAGTGGAGGCCAATCCACGAGAAACCTGCCACCAGAGACCCGACCCTGAGACCCCAGGGCGTCCCCCGATCTTTGGCGCGGGAGCGTCGCACTCTCCAGAGCAAGACCCTCGAAACCCAAGAAGCCCAGGGCGCCCTGGAGGCAAGCAGGGTGTTTTTTTGGCATGGGCCTTCTCTGCAATCCGGCGAGTCTTGCTGCACCTCCTCTACGCAGAGGGCCGCTCGCGTGTCATTCAATATGCATATCCCAAACTCTGGATACCCGCCCTCTTCGTATTCGATCGTACCCCCTCTTGGGGGGTCTATTCATTCTCTGCCACGCGTGGTCGGTGAAGCCCTTGAAAGCGAAGGGCAACAAATAACGGGGGAGAATGAGGGCGAAGGGACCGGAAGAAGAGAGGGGAGGGGCAAGACGGAGGGAGGACGATGATTTGCGTTGCGACTGGCGATTCAGCTTGCGCCATGGCTTGCGACAGCCACTCCAACACAGGCTACCAATCAGCTTCGCCATTGGTCGCGCCATAAACAGCGCCACGTACCACCCCATTGAAAGAACATGTCGTGGATACCCCCACGGGGGGACGTACAGCTGCGAACTGGTGTCAGAAACAAATGTCGTGGAACCCTG